ACGGGGGGATTGCCAAGAGCTGGTCCATTGAGAGCTTTTAAACAGGGGCCTCTGACTTGTTTTTCAGCTGGAACAGGAAGCAAGAAGGGCTGGCAAAGCAGGGGTGTGATGTGTGCATGTCAGCACGCTGGACCAGCCTCAGCAGTGCTGGTTGAACGTGAGCCCAGAGACCCTGGGCTGTGCAGAAGGCATGGACAAGCTGTGATCCACAGGAGGGTGATGGCAGGATGTGCACGTAACAGCGAGGTGATGCCACACAGGTTGGGATCTGTGTTTTTGTTCTCAGCATGATGGGCAGTGGTACCCACACTGGCAGGGGAGAGGGAATCCAGTGCGCTGTGTGACAGTGGCCAGGTCTACCCTGCACTCTGCTCCTGGAGCTGCGGCCACAGGAGCAAGGTGCTGAGCCCAGGCTTATCAGCCAAGCTCCAGCCAACTGTCAAGAGCATCTTGTGGTTGCACCACTTTGGAAAGCATGAGACCATATTTCTGCTGGGCTCTGGAGCAGCATCTCTGCCTTTTCCTCCATTCATGTGGTGCAGGGGTTTCCTTAGCACAGCACGGGTTTGCCCCACAGCTATTGCTTGTGGATGCAGGCAGCTACCTGCAGGCACCCAGTTACTTAGCATGGGTGTTTGGCACCTGCAGGACTTTGACTCCTTATAGGACCCATATCTCAGCAGCCCAGACAGCCTGTTTGTGGTACAGCATCTCATCGAGCAGCTACACAACCCCAAAGGCTTCAGGAAGAGCAGAGCACAAGGCAGAACAGAAATGCCTGTGGTATCTCTATGGGATATAAAGACATGAGCCGCCAAGCTAAGGAAGGTCAGATGCAGAAGTTCTTATCTCCCTTCCCGCAAGTAAGGATCATGAGTAAAGCACTCAAACATGAGTATCATGAGAGGAAGTGAAAAAAACATGAGCTGACATTGGTGTCTATAAATAAATAACATGTTCTGTGGCTTCATTCTTAGCCTTAGAAGTAGTAGAGCCTTAGTGCTTGTAGAAGTTTGTATTTTGAGTTATTTTTTTCTCTGCACTGAGAAACATTTTAAATGGAAAACTGGAAAAATAGAAATATTTCTATTATTTTTCTATTATTTAATATTCCTTATTTCAAATGCAATTAACCATCTTCCACACTCATTGGATTCCAAGAACCGGAGCTTTAACATCCCCTGCTTTCTCTTCTTCCCCCAAGAAGCATCTTGAGCCTAGTGATAAAATCCAGGCTTCAGCCAATGCTGGGTGGGGTATCTACAAGGAAGGTGTTGACATTTCATGAGGCCAAATGTTAATTGCCTTCTCTCTCTCTCTAAAAGTTCCTTCAGGTCCCAATAGGTTTGAGTTTAGTAGTAAACATTTAAGCAGCATTACTTTATAGGACTTCATCCGCTGTGTTTTGCTGCAGAGGTGGCAGCGTTTCCAGGCATGGAGGGCTGATCTCTGCCAAGAGCATACGTGCTTGGAGTGGTGAAATGCTCTTTGGGACCTCTTTGGGCAAAATACGTCTTAGTATTTGTACAAAAACAAGTGTTCATGTGTGCTCTTACTGAAGGCACTGATGGAGAAGAGGCTCAGCTGTGAGACAGTAGCAGGTAGCCCCAGGCTCCTTTGTAAAGCACAGGAGACCATGAGAAACCATCGTGAGGAAAGTTGGTTGCTAAACAAAACACCTCCAGGTTCCGAAGGAGACTCTGTCAGGTTGTAGCTGCCATATGGCATTCCAGGTTGTCTGATGGGTTTCAGGCACTCAGTGCGGGTCTGGGACCTTTTGGTTTCTGGCTTTGACTTCACTCCAGAGATGCTCTGCCTTGGGCAGAACACTCAGAACCACTCTTCGGCCTCATTGTTTTTGTTTTGCAAATTATCAGGGTTGGCACCATCAGGTGCAGCTCCATCATTGTCAGTGGGGATGCTGCCTGCTTCGGTCCTTGGCTCAGAACGCTGGGCTCCAGCTCACCACATGCTCTGCACAGCTCCCTCCTTCAGTCGTGCTTGCTGCAGCTTTTCCCTCGTTTCTATGCAGAACTCCCCATCCCTCCAGTGTGGTTGTGCTCCCTCTTGTCCCACCACCTTTGTGCCCTGTTGGGTCCCATGATGGTCCTATCCCTGCTGGTGGCACCTCAGTTGAATCTGCTGGAGGTTTCTCTTAGATGCAGTAAGCAAGATCCTCCTGTTAATACCAGGTTTACTCTGAGCTGCAGATCTTTGCACTCTCTTCTCTTCATTATTGTCTGCTTCTGGGAATAAAAGTAAAACATAAACCCCAGCGCTCTGCACAGTGACACTAACTGCCCATAAGAGTGTTTTGCTGGGTGGTCAAGTGGTTTGAGAGCAAGATTGGAAACCATCATCTCCTGAGTTTCCAAACTGTTCATGTCACCGAGCCTCTCTGGGGCACGATGCTTCACCCCGTGTGTCTCTGTTTACCACCGATAAAGCAGAGCTATTAATACTGCTGTGCTTCAGGGTGATCTTTTGGGCTGCCATTAATGTTAAAACCTTCTGAGATCACTCTCTGGAAGGAGCTGGAGAGGTGCAGAGGGCTGTGTGCTGCCAACCAGCTTCCACCAGAGCTGGATTTATTGGTGCTGATTCCAAAACATCTCATTCCGAGTGAATGGAAATGAAGAGCTTCCCTCTCAGGTTCTTGAAAGAGGGCTGGTTTCAGGTGAGGTAAAGCAAGTATTTTTCTTTTTCCTCAAAAAAAAAAAAAAGTGGTTTTGAGCAAATCAAAATCACTTTGATTCTGATGTTTTCCACTTACATTTTGGGTTTTTTTCTTCTATCATCCGAAAAAAAACCCCAAAATGATGAAATGAAGGGCTTGTCTGTTGATATGTATTTTTTAACCTAGGTCCGACCAGTACAGATGCTCTTGCTCTTGGCAGCTGAATGACTTTGTTCCTGTGTGTGCTGGGCAGAGGGGGAAAGTGCAGTCAAAGGGCTAACATAGGTCTTTAACATCACCCAGAGGGGTGGATATGCTTTAACACCCAAACAACCCTCCTGACCCCCCTGGTGATGGAATAGGTGATGTGGACACTAATTGCTGAATATTACAACTGTGTTGGGATAAAAGTCTGCTGTTTTTCATGGAAAGTGCTCTGGCACTGATTGCTAATGGAGCCTTGCTGCCTGAGCGGCTACAAGGCAGAGCAGAGGTTACACATTAGCTGTGCCCAGCCATTTAGGAAAGAAAACACAACAACCCGGCTGCTGTGGCTAAGCAAGTGGCCCCAGGATGGGGATGGAGAGCAGCTCACAGTGGTAACCTGCATGCTGAACCCTCTTACTGCTTGTTGTGCTTACACTGATGAGCAAGAAGAGCATTGCCCAGCTTTCTCAATGCAGAATTCTTCTTCTCGCTGGAGCTGAGGTCCCCCCACCCAACACTGGGTGCTCCTATTGCTGTTGCTTTCTGGGCCTGGAAAGAGAGGGATTCATGCTGCCAAGGTGCAGAGACACGTCCCTTACCTGCTTTTAGCAGGAGACCCCTTACTCACCTTGAACCCTTTGTCTACTGCAGGGAGGTGCTACATCTGGAATGGGATGCTGAAGTTAGACTCCTGCCGCAGATTCACTATTACCCTATTGCTCTGTTGCTGTCCCTTAATTATAGTGGGAGAACAGCCTGTGTGTGGTACTTGTGAAGCTTTGGACATCCTTCCCGAGCTGCTCCCACTCTGAGCAACATTCCTTGTAAATTAAGGAAAATGCTATCATGCCAAAGAGTTAAATAGCATCTCCATGGGTGAGCTGAGAGTGTGCATCCTCTGCATGGCCCAGCTTAGTGAAAATGGGAGTTGCCCCTACACACAAGCTGGCTCCTTGGCAGGCTGCTGGCATCCTTTCAGATAGCAAGTATTGTTAAGGAACTAAGGCTAATTGTTCAGGGAGAATGGGTCCTGTGCTGGGAATTGCTACTGTGCAAATGGCAGCTCTTATCAGGCACGTGTGTGGGGTGCAGCCGGGAGGAGAGAGGGGGCTTGTGTGTGGGGTGAGGATAAGGGAGGCATTGCTCTGTCCCCATGAAGGATGCTGGGGAATTAGGACCATTCCTTAAGTAAACACACCCCAACGTCTCAATCCCATTTAAGCTTCAGCTGCTTTTGTGGGACTCTTTGCACTCACTTTCAAGAGCTGCTTGGGTTTAGGATAAGGAGCGGGGCTGCGTTGTCTCTTGGGAGCTGGGTACCCCACCACCAGGCATCTCCAACCTCCGAGGGGTTCAAGCCAGCTCCTGCACAGCTGGAGTTTCCATGCCTGGCTTGGAGTGAATAAATATGAACCAATGCCTTTTGGGAGAGTGGACAGAAGATTGTCACCCCTGCTGCGAAAAAGCTTTTGGAGCTTTGATACTCTGACCAGCGCTCTGTGCTCAGCATCCCCAGACATCCCATGCAGCCACAGCCTGTTTATTGAATGCTTCATCCAACACAAAAGCCATATTTTACTGTCAGATGCTCTCCATTAGCTTCGAGTGTGAAATTATCATTCCCACCCTTTTACCAACCCCACCCTGGTGGGGAAATGAGGGAGAAAACAACCTCAAGGCCGTTCACAGAATGTGTACGAGCTGTCACTTGTCAGCACAGAGCCCGCTTACACCAGGAATTACTGCTCGGTCTCAGGAGGGCCGCAGAGGAGCCCGGCTTGCAGACGCCAGAGCATTAGAACGTTTGCATCAGCACATGGCAAAGCAACCCTGGAGGTGTTTACACCCTCTTGCAGTCAGGCAGCTGCAGGGTGCAGCCCCACAGGGCTCCCAGGGATGGAGGAGGTCCATCGTGCTGCATGGGGACGTGGTGGCCTCCTGTCCCTGGGTGCTCTCCTGTTCTAAGCCTATCTAACATCTTGAGATGCCAAACCTGACTGATAGGAGCTTGGACCCCATTCTTCCTTCCTCTTGTGAAGGCCAGTTCCTATAACAACCCCATGGTGTGGGACTGGGAGATAAAGACATTGTTTTGCTTCTCCTTCCTGCCTTCCAGATTTACTCTTTACGCAGTGGATACGAGAGGGAGACACTCAGAGCCGAGCACGGTGACCCTGAGGACAGCCTGCCCGCTGGTAGATGACAGTAAGGCAGAAGGTCAGTGTTCAGGTGCCTCATTTGCCATGACAAAAGACATTTCGTGCTAATTTTGCTTTGCCTCTATTCAGCTCTGGGTATTTAGGAGGATGCTGGTGGCGGCTGGTTTGGTTCCGAATCAGAAATACCAGTAAAAGCCCAGACACTTTTGCACATCTACATTTTTGAGGTTTGAAGCCATTCCCTTTTGTTCTTATGCCCAGAGCATTTGGCTGCTTTCAGATTTAAAGATTCCTCTATGTGAAAGGCAGGTTACCTGTTTTCTTTCTTCCTTGCTTTCTGTTCTGAAAAGCACACAAAAGGAAGTTTTGATTAATGCTTTATTCCATGTTCTTGATGAGCATTACCAGGAAAAATGAGCAAAAGGGAGACTACAGAGAAGGAAGGGAATGGAGTTTTGTTCATTTTTCAACTCTAAAGAAAGATCCTTTTCTACAGCAGAGTTCACCCTCTTGTTTAATACATCTGAGCGGCGATAGTAGATACCACAAAGATGATGTGCCGTATTTGTGGCTGAAGTGCCACCTTGTTACCAGCAGCTTTGTATTCTTCCTATCCTTTAGCGTCATAGCTGTGCAACTGCTTTTGTCCTGGTGAATTAGGGAAGAGCTTGTCTGCCCTACATGAGAGGGTAAAGCTGTGTTTGCAGCCCTCCTCCTCTTCCCATTCCTTTATGCAGTATTGGGAGTCTTTAAATGCTCCCCCAGTCACCAAATACGGCTGCAGGCAATCCCAAGGGACCAGCAGCCACCCTCGATGCCCACCCCTCCTGCCAGCCCTGCCAAGGGCTTTACTCCTCCTGTGCTAGCACCTTCTGACTGTTCATTAATCCCATTCCCCTGATCCTTTCCAGAGATAGCCGACAAAATCTACAACCTCTACAACGGCTACACCAGTGGGAAGGAGCAGCAGACGGCCTACAACACACTGATGGAGGTCTCCGCTTCCATGCTCTTCCGAGTCCAGCACCACTACAACTCCCACTACGAGAAGTTTGGAGACTTCGTGTGGCGTAGTGAGGACGAGCTGGGCCCCAGGTACCTGTCCTTCCCTGCACTCTCCCCTGCACCAGTGCCTGGAGCACACTTCTGCTTGGCCACTGTGGATGTGACCCTCGTTGCCTTCTCCTTGTATCTGAGAGAAGTCACCTTTTGGTGGTTCCAAGCTGTCATCCCCTAGGACCACCAGGTCCCACTCCATCTTTGGATGAGTGGTTATGGCAGACATAGCAGCTTGGAGGTCTTTGGATGGGTGTCTGTGGGACATGTAGCAACCAGTCTGAACCAGGCAGGTAGATAGTGCAGATGAGCTGGGTGTGTTGGAAGAGCTGAAGGGTGTAAATTAAGCCTGGGACAGGAAAGTAAACTGGGATCAACTCTGATCCTCTTCAGTTACAGAGCCATGGTAGATGAGAACATGGCTGCCCCAGGGTTCAGAGATGTCCTCATGAATTGCAGGGTGGATGGTTGGAAAGGGTGACTGAGGGGATGGAGCAAACACGCAGCAGGTATGCATGTGTTGAGTGGTGTGTGCACCAAGCATTAGGTATCAAGAGCTGCAGTACAGAGGCAGCTGTACATGTTGGGGTGTTTGAGGAGTACAGGACAAGTCCATCCTTATGCTGTAGTATTTGTGCATGCCAAAGAGCCAGGTAATGAGCAGCAGCAGAATCCCTCCTGGGCAGTTTTTGCTGGTGTCAAGGAGCATGATGTGACCTCCAGGACCAAAGTGGATTCTGCACCTGGGACAGATCCATTCTGCCATCCTGCATTCACATTGGCTTCCTCCACACCCAGGCAAGATTCCCTGTGGACACTGAAGGAGAGGACCACTTGTCCCACATTTAGCTTTGGGCTCCTGTTACCTCCTTGTGTGGTTGGGGACATGTGTGGCAATGCAAACACCCTGCTGCAGGGGTATTAATCCTATGCAAAAGCAGTTTTGAACCCCTGGAAGGGCAGAGCTGAGGTGCTGGTGAACAGATCATTACTTGTGTGTGTAGATAGACTGTTTGACACCATCAGAGGGGTCAACGATTGAACAATCAATATGTGATAAACTTGGCTCTTCTAAATAGTATCTTTCATGAACATTTCCTTCTATTTATTTCTCTATGTATCTGCCTTGACGTGTGTTTATTCTCACAGTGGTATATGGTTGCCATACAAACCATTAATGTTTCCAAAATTCCCTTTTCCACCTTCACTCTGTCCCAAAAGAATAATTCAGCTTGCTGATATAGGCACTAGAAAGGTCCTCCTAAATTTTAGCCCTGTGGTGCCCCTGACACCGTGCAAAGATGCCAGCAAATGCACAGCACCTCATCTGTTACCTATACACACCTTTATGCTAGAAGTATTTCCTCTTTACCGTACATTTCATGCTTTGAGGAGGGCTGGGAGAGGATTTGTTCTGGGAGTATGGAGAGGAACCTTTCCAGAGGGGTGCAAACCCCATTGACTCTAAGATATCAAAGGTATGTGAAGTACATTGCACCCAGGGTGCTGGTAGTGTCCTGGCCAAGGCCACCCAGCCCCTTAGGAACCATTCTGCTTCAATCTGCTTGTTAGATACTGCTAAGGATCTGCCCATAACACCAGATGACAGCTCCTCACAACAGTTTATATCCCTCCTGGACACAAATCCAAGCTGGCCTGGGGCTTGCCCTCCTCCAGAGATGACCTTGGTCATAGTGTCTTTGGTAGTTCATTAGCCTCTGGCACAGAGCCATCCTCATCCTCCTCACTGCCCTCCTCCTCCTTTGATGACACTGCAGACTCCTTTGTCCTTTTCAGTTGTTCCTCTCTCTTTAAATCCCTGGGAACCATCAGCCTCTTGTTACAGATCTGTATTTCCTCTGTTACTTGAGACCCAACACACTTACTGAAGGATGCTATCTAACCTGATACCTGCATCAAGCCATGAGAGTTACAAGGTGACATTTAAACTGCCCATCTTGCCTGTCTGTACCATGCTACATCTAGAGCCAATGGTCGATTGGGCTGCTGTCTGCCTTCCTCACCAAGCCAGATGAGCTCCCAGCAGTGCCCCTGTTCTCTACTTGAGCAATATGTGACTTGCAGCCAAGGGGAAGCATCTACAAACACCACAGCAGCCAGTGCCAGGCCCTTGACAAGAGCAAAGCTCTGCCATCCAGCTTGGACAGAAGCAGAGGCACTGACGTAGCAGGAGGAGAGTAAGGATGTGCCAATGGAGGCCACCTTGTGACACGATTGGAACTGACAGCCTCTCCTCCTTCCCGGGGGGACGTTCATTTTCCTACCTTGAAATGTTTATCAGATGAGCCTCAGCTTTGCAGTAAATGTTCCCTCATAAACCAGAGCGACAAGAGGGAAGTTGATTGCCTCTGTGTAATAAATACATCACCCCAGAGCCCTCGTGAGCCCAGTTTCCATGAAAGGCACAGGTTACTGCAAACAGCTGCTTGTGAGGAGCCATGCTGACAGCCAGATGTCCCAACCAGACCGTTTACATTAAGGAGACATTAAAAACTTAGCTCATAGGTGGCCCTAAACCAGGACTTTCTGTGGTCAGCAGCATCTTGGCACCTGGCTTGCCTCTTCCTGCTAGTCTCCTTTAGCAACAACAAACCCTTTCCTGCTTCCTTTCCCAGTCCTCTTGCAGACATGGAGTGAATCTCACAGAGTTAATTTGTTCCAACAAAATCTGTCTAAAGCAGTGAAGGTTTAAGGCTACTGTGCATTCAGACCTTTGGATGTGTGCAGCCAGAGGGCTTCCTGACACAGCAACAGGGAGATTTCTGTATTACTTTCTCTCACTGTGTCTTCAGGACAATTCTGATGACCACTGGCTTTACGAGGAGGCAGGACAAGTAATTAAGTTTAAATCTTCCTTCCATGCCCCTCCTTGTGGCCTCCAGCAACAACCAGGGGTCAGGATGTGGCATCAGCCCAGGCCTTGCAGCCTTTCTTTAGCTGGAGCAAGTCACCAGGCAGGCAGCCGGGACAGTCACGGGGGATGAAGTGCATGTCCAGAGCAGCTGCCTTCTGGTACCGAAGGGGAATGCAGTGTTCTGATGGGAGGCTGTGATAAGAGGCCATCAAGTCCTGGACTCATTGTCCTCCCTTATGAGGGTCTGACAGACCCAGGTCAGTTCTCAGTAGAGTGGAAAAATCTGTATTTATGACAAAATCACCCCATATGGGAACACAGCAGCCAGGCAGCAGTCCTGGGAATCTCATCCTCCCTCTACCCCAGGTGTCATTTCTTCTTTGCTTCTTTATGCTGGTTCATTCTCTTTTAATACCTTCCTCCTAGGTGAGATAAGGGAAGGTTCTGCTGGCTCTGGATATGTTTTCATCCCACACCAGCCCTCAACGTGGGTCATCGCTGGCCCCTCTGCAACTGGGAGCAAATGCCCCTGTGGGAGCACCCCTGGGCTGGGCAGAGCAGGACACAACATGTCTCCTTCTCTTGGTCACATCCTTGTGGAGCTGGGGCTGGCAACCAGGGGCCTCGGTACCCTGTCCCGTTGTGCAATCACTGCACTGCACTCCCTTGCAGTGGGGCCACTGTTTCATGCACGAGCACCTGGAAGATGCCCTGGCATCACCCATCCCCTTTCCCTTTCCTCTCCCCCACCATACGACGAGGTACCACAGAGGGAAACAGCCATATAGAGCCTATTTTTAAATCCCCCTCTTCATCATTTATGGCTGTGGCTGTGACCTCCTAAATCCATCATAGAAGTGGAGACCAAAATCAGTCCCTGGGTGGCACCGACTTAAAACAACAGCCCCTGTGGTGGGCACATGGCAGGTGGGATTGCTCCACTGGCTCATGCCAATGTGGGGGCACCCCTTGTCTGGGATATGGAGTGAGGGGAAAGGGTTTGCTTCATGCCTTTGGGGGCTGAGAGCTGGGGGTTTGGTCACAGGCAACTCCCTCCTCACTCACTCCTCTCCCTATTCCTGCCCTTTAATAAGGCAATAAATTACCGTTCCTGGCAGGGATGAGGTTGGTCAGCATTTAGGAAGATTTCATTTCCAGGATTTGAAAAGGTGGCCGTTCTGACCCGACAGCCCTCCGCAGGGAGCGCTTGGGTAATACCCGGGCCTTGATTTATGGTGTTAAATTGGCAGCCCAAGAACTGCTCCTGTAATTTATTACCCCACTTCACCAGAGAGCCTCTCTTTTCCCCTCACCCGCTCTGGGTCTCCTTCTCCTTAGTTGTTTTAAGAGGGAACAGCTGACAGCCGAAAGCTAAATCTAACATTTACACATGACTTCATTACCCCACTAACATAAATGACTCAAAGTGGTGAAACCCATTAAAACTGGGGCTTTTTGGCACTGGGCACTGAAAGCCAGGGGCCTGATTCCCTCCCTCCCCATCACCCCGTCTCCTCCTTGACCACAGTGCGGTGTGTTTTCAGCATCCTTGTAGCACCAACCCATTGTGTGCTGCATCCCAGCCTTAAACACTGATTCTTTCCTGGGGATGACTGCACCAAGCACACCTACAGATGCAGTGGTGTCTGAACAGTAAGTTGAAGTGTTGAAAAGGAAGGAGAGAAAGAGAAGAGCTCAGCCAACACAAGTGTAGGCATGTGCTGGGCAGTCCACTCCTGGTGTTGTTTAGGTCCAAGTTGTGGTTATCACCACTGGGGTTTGCCTCAAGGGCTCATCATGGCCACTCATTGTTGCTCCCTTCTTGCTATGGCTGGGAAAGGCCTTATGCAGTCAGTCTGGGGGGAAAATCATTGGGTTGTTTGGGTGGCCTTCAGATGGATGAGTTCCCCATGTCACTTGTTACATCAAAGTCCATCCTAGGAGCTGACCATGGGCTGTTGGCTCTAAAACCAGATCAGACAGATATTCAGCAAGGCAGGTTGTTCCCAGCAAGGAAATGGCACAGATGATGGTGTTTGGTCCCATCCAACATCAGTGACTGTGATTTGCTGAAGTTTGTTCACTGTAGTGACAGTCACCACAGACCTTGCTGAGCTGAGCTTTACTCGATCAGTCTTTACTGAAAGCATCTAATGCCATAGCAGGATTTTGTAACATCTGCAGCAGACATGCGGCAGTGAAGGGCCTGTTCTCAACAGTGGGAGCAGCAGATGCTGCAGAAGATCAGGTGGCTGCTATAAAGAGTAGCATGAGTAGAGGATTCTATCAGAGCTGGGCTCAGCTCAGCCCATGACACCATTATTATATGTGTGTGTATAGCTAATGACTCAAATTGCCTAGTCAGGCTTATCTTCATACATTGAATCAATACATGGGTACCATGTAGTGTGGTCCAAGAATGACCAACCCCCTTTACTCTTCCCTTCCCCTGTAAAGCCAACCCTGACCCCATCACCCTGGGAACGGAGCAGGGCAGTTTTCCACACGCAGCGCTGGAGAGGCAGTGGTTTACTACAGCCTTTCATCCACTGTTTCTGCTCTGCAGGGATTGGTCTGTAGCTGTTTGGGATGCTGGGATGCTCTCTTGCCTCATGCCACTGTCTCTGACCTCTGCTCTGGCCCTGGGTGGCTCCAGGCAGCCCTTCCCTGGTGTCCCGTTGCTGGGTGCCTGTGGGTGCATCGGGCTCCCCCCGCACTGCAGCACCACTCAGCTTTCATAACCAACTGATCCCTGTGTTTGTGCCTCGCTGCCCCTGACATAGCATTATCGGGAATGTACATTCCTCAGGAACTGCGAAATCCCCAAGCCCTGAATCCAGAGCTTTCCTGTGGCACCCAAGGGAGAGGAAATAATCTGTGATCTTGCGACTTTCAGGCCACTGAAGTAAACCCTTTTCCCCTCCCTTTGTTTGATTTAGCACTTTGCAGGCTCCCACGAGGGGATTCTTGGTTTCTTATGGGTTTATTTTGTTTTGTCTTAATGTGGTGTGCTTTTTTCCCCTCGCTTTTCTAATGTCAGTCCTTTTGGGCCATTTGCCTCCTGCAGGCTTGGGAAAACAGGGAAGGGAGGGCTGGGCTCATCAATAGGGTGCTGGGGGTGTCACCAGGGTGCATGGGGACTAGCACATGTGCTGGAGTCTGTCAGAGCACGTAGTGGTGATGGTGACCGTATAGCAAGGGCAGACAGTGACCCCGTGCACCCAAGCTGCTCTTCTGGGTCAGGCCTGAGGTCGCTCCAGCCTGATGCTGTGGAATAGTAGATACACCCATAACATTTGGGCAAAACAGAGCTTCTCACTTGAAATGGGAAAGATAATGTCAGGCAAATGTGTCTCATGCATTCTTCATGGAAACAAAGAATGGTTTGTGCTGGAAGGGACATTAAAGCTCCTCCAGCTCCAACCCCTGCCACGGGCAGGGACCCCTTCCACTGGAGCAGCTTGCTCCAAGCCCCTGTGTCCAACCTGGCCTTGAAGACTGCCAGGGATGGGGCAGCCACAGCTTCTCTGGGCACCCTGTGCCAGCGCCTCAGCACCCTTATAGACAGAGCTGGTGGTGGACCCCAGAAGTCCTGTCTCCTGGTCTCTTTGCACTGCCCGCACTGCTCTGTCTCTATCTCTGTCTCTGTCCCCTCCAGGAAAGCACACCTGATCCTGAGGAGGCTGGAGAAGGTCAGCAGTCACTGCTCCACCCTGCTACGCAGTGCCTACATCCAGAGCCGCACCGAGACCATGCCCTACTTGTTCTGCCGCAGCGAAGAGGTCCGGCCGCCCGGCATGGTCTGGTACAGCATCCTAAAGGACACCAAAGTAACATGCGAGGAGAAGATGGTCTCCATGCTGCGCAACACGTACGGGGAGTCCAAGGGGCGGTGAGGAAAGGTGCAGGCCTGGAGCTGTGGGAGGCAAAGGGACTCCGAGGAGTCGAGGACTTGTGATAATGCTGAGTGCTGGTGGGGTTTGGGGTCGGATGGTGTTTGGAGGGGTTGGAAGGGGACAGCGAGGCCAAACAGGACTTTCTCACGCAGACAGCAGAGAAACAAGAAATCAGCAAGTTGGACTTTTAATTTCTTTTCCTTTTTTTTTTTTTTTATTTTTTCAAGAGGAAAAAAAAACAAGAAGAAATTCCCTAATTTGACTCAGCATCAAAGCCTCTCCTTTTTAATCTTTTCTTACTGAATTTCCTGGACTACACGCTCCAAAACCCTGGATAGGAGGAGATAACGCGCTGGAAGCCAGCATCAGGGAGAGGGGAGCTGCTGGGCACAGGGTGACCCCTTCCCTGCCTGTGGAGCGAGGGACCCCGGTGCAATGGTGGCCGAGGACGCAGGAGGAGGTGGCGCGGGTGGCCGGTGACACCGCGCTGCCAGCCAGGATGCCCGGATTGGGATGCCAGGCGGGTGCCGGGATGCTGCAGGCAAGCTGGGCTTTTGTACCACTGCGAGTCGATGGAGCGGCTCCATGCGCAGCCGGCACCCGGCAGCTTGTGCTGTGCATTAAAGGTTCATATTAAGTCCGTCTCTGCTGCCTCCTTGGTGTTTCTTCCCGACACCATCTCAGCGCTGCTTGGGCATTCGCAGGGCTTCAGGACCAGTTATCACTGATGGCTGTTCCTAGGATGTGTCCCTCTACTCAGCTCTGGATGCAGTCCTGCATCCAGCTCTGGAGTCCTCAGTACAGGGAAGATGCGGGCCTGTTGGAGAGGGTCCAGAGGAGGCCACAGTAATGATCAGAGGGATGGAACAACCCTGCTATGAGGAAAGCTGAGAGAGTTGAGATTGTTCGTCCTGGAGGAGGAGACTCCAGGGAGACCTTATTGTGGCCTTTCAGTGCTTAAAAGGTGCCTAAAGAAAGATGAGGACAGACTTCTTAGCAGGGCTTGTTGCAACAGGACGAGGGATGATGGTTTTAAACTAAAAAAGGGGAGATTCAAGCTGGATGTGAGGAAGAAATTCTTTACAATGAGGGTGGTAAAAACGCTTTCACAGGCTGCCCAGAAAGGTGGTGGATGCTCCATCCCTGGAGACACTGAAGCCAAGCTGGATGTGGTTCTGATCTAGTTGAAGATGTCCCTGCTCATTGCACGGGGTTAGAAGTAGATGACCTTTGAAGGTCCCTTCCAACCCAAACCATTCCATCATTCTATGAGGAGCTGTATTTGGAAACCGGAGCTGACCCCAAGAGCTGGATGTGCAGAGACAAGGGGAAAGTGCAGCCTCTTTGTGTAGGGTCCTTCTCCCTCCCAACACCCAGCTCGGCCACTGGCCCCAGTGGGAGCTGGAGGCATGTGGGAAAGCCCAAGAAGGAAGCCAGGGGCTAAAAGGACATAGAGAATCTGGTTTCTTTTACTGTCAGATGTGGGTTAGGCTGGCCCAAGATCCCTGTGGGTAATGGATTTCTCAGTCTGGCAGCCAAACCAGAAAGTGCAGGAGGGTGAGAGGGGAAAACATACAAAAAATCAGATCAGCTCAAAAGCTGTTGCTTTTTAAAGCAAAATGACAAAACGTGGAGTGGGGAAAGGGAGCAGTGTGGGTTGAATGAATCGGTTTGGTCAGCCCAAAAGCAAATAGTTTCATTTAGTCTTTCAGGTTATTTAACCCTCTAATGTAAAAGCAAGCAAGCAGGAGGTGAGTTTGAAAATGAAAATGTTTTGAAAGCAAAGGTTCAGGATTTGATGTGGAGGAACTTCAGCCAGAGACCTCGGGGACCTTTATCTTGAACTAAACCTATTTGCCTGATTTGTACTCAAATAATCCTGATGGTTTTTCCCAAGCTGCTCTTTTCCACCCCCTCTTTGGTTATGTCTCTTCATTCATCTTAAGCCACATTGATGGTGCGCGTTGGAAGGCCTTGAGTACCTGGTCAAAGTCCTACTGGAGTTCAATTGTTGGAGCAAGCACCAAATCCCTGCAGATTGCCTGAGGTCTTATTTTTTGAGCTAAATCTCTTTTACTGCTGAATAAGAGGACAGTGACACTGAGGGACCTGGGCTATGGCCACTCTGTCACTGAGGCTTATACAGCACTGAGCATGAGGGCCATGGAGGGACCATGATGCCATGTGTGTTAAAACCTCTCTCAGCCCCCAGTACAGTTGCTGCCTGTCAACCATGCCTTTACTCTTCAGAAGTGGCTGGTGGCCATGGAGTTTGGTTGTGGAGATGAAGATGACCATGGGATTGGAACTGGATGACCGTTGAAGGTCCCTTCCAACCCAAATTCTTCTATGATTCTATCACTTGCTGCAGATGAACATAGACTTAGCATTTGCTTGGCCAGAGCTGCTGAGCCCTGGTGTAGCTCTCAGCACCCATCCAGCACCCTATGCACCATCCAGGACTGGATGGGTCTGTGATGTGCAGTGGGGCCGGAGCTCACAGATCTTGTACCTCCCATAGCAGGAGACACTGGTGTGGGAAGAGGCGAGGCAGTAGTTGTTCAGATTTGCTATTGTGTAAAGCAAAGCACAGCAAACCCCTTGGAATCCAGATGTGCAGGTGTCCCAGCCAGAGCCAGTTACCAGCACTATGGTGTTACACCAAGGCTGAGTACATGACATGGAACATGCACTGCCAGGGCTGGGGGAAACCCTAAATCCTCTTATTCATTGATACAGACTGACCAGGGCTGATCCTTCCCTCCCATCAACTGCAGAGTGTGCAAAGGCTCCAGCACCCCACAGGACACGTCACGTACCAGGAGTAACAGATCAGGAGCAACCTGGCTGGTCCCAACCCAATGAATGCACCTCCATGTGTTTTGAATCCTTCTTGTTTTTCAAGGCTCTGGCCCACAGCCTTTCCCTGGGTTTATTTTGGTTTTGTTTGGTTTTGGCTGGAGGTGATTCATTTCTCTGCACAGCCCCTTGCAGTGTGTGCTGCAATAGGGAGCAGCTCCATGGTTTCACTGCAGGTGGTGATTGACCGGATGGACAAATCAGTTGTGTTCTCTCATGGGGCTGGAGTCAATGGTAGGTGTGATGGGACTAATGCTACTCATGGGACTCCTGACCATCATAAGTATGGTGCTAGGTGTTAGGAGTAGGAGATGCCAGCCAAAATGCAGGTTGGCTGGCTGGATGTCCTTCAGCATCCAGGAGTTATTCTCCTCTCTGACACAGTGAGCTCCCCACAGTGGTGTGTTCTGCACATGGGATACCCACCCCAGCAGCAGAGTGCAGGGGAAAGGGGGCAAAGCCTGCAGCACTGGGAGATTTTACTGCAGATGGCAATAGAATGGAGACCTTCGACTCTGGTCATCTTAACTTCTGCTGGGAACAAAACAGCACAATGACTGGGCTGTGTATATCCTCCCTGGCTCCAAGCTGCAAGGACTAGGGGCTTAATTCCTGCTGCTTACCTTGGAAAGCCGCTGAAGAGCCTCACTTCACATCCTTGGTGAGGTTGGCTGTTGCGTACGGGTACGTATACAGAGCAAGTTGTGTGTTAGCCTGTGTTGATGTGTACAGAGCAGGTGGAAGAGTCTAGACTCCTGGGCAGGAAGGCTTGCAGTTAGACAGCTATTAACCTGTCGAGAAGCACACCTAGCTCCCAGATCAAAGCCAGGGGAGCCTCTCGCCAGCGATGCTCCCAGTGTACCCAAGCCAAACAAACCCAAGGCATTCGTGGAGGCTGCACATCCTGCGGCGCGCGGCTGAAAGGAAGGGTCTGTGTTTGCTCCCTGGAAACTTCGCAGAATGTAACCCTCCAGCTTTCAAGATAAACACTTGTAGTCACAGCCCAGCAATGCTGGCAGATGGACCCGTGCCCCGTCGTGCATGTGCACACACATCCCACACCATCCCGCTGGCTCCCATAGGGAAAAGGGATCCTTGCTCTAAAGCAAGTTGCTGCTGCCCCAGGAGCTGGCTCCTCTTGCCAAGCTGTACCCTGACTTTGCTGTGCCATTGGCTGGGCTTTGGCTGTGCTGTCGTGGCCGGGGAGAGCACCAAGGGTGGATGACACATGAAAAGTGAGGGGGGAGAGGGACAAAAAGATGACATCATAAGGACATGGAACCATTGGAACAAGTCCAGAGGAGGCCACAAGGATGATCAGGGGCTGGAGCACCTCCTGTATGAAGATAGGCTGAGAAAGTTGGGGCTGTTCAGCCTGGAGAAGAGAAGGCTGCGTGGAGACCTCATAGCAGCTTCCAGTGTCTGAAGGGGGCTGCAAAGATGCTGGAGAGGGACTCTTTATCGGGGACTGTAGTGATAGAACAAGGGGTGATGGGTTTAGACTTAAATGGGAGACTGAGATGAGCTCTTAGGCAGAAGCTCTTCCCTGTGAGGGTGCTGAGGCGCTGGCACAGGGTGCCCAGAGAAGCTGTGGCTGCCCCATCCCTGGCAGTGTTCAAGGCCAGGTTGGACACAGGGGCTTGGAGCAAGCTGCTCCAGTGGAAGGGGTCCCTGCCTGTGGCACGTGTTGGAGCTGGATGAGCTTTAAGACCCCTTCAAACCCAAACCATCCTGTGATTCTATGTTTCTATGATCATCGGGGTTTAACAGATAGATAAACTACCCACATCCATTTGCAAAGCTGCAGTGATTTGCCTGATGGTGTGAAGCAGGGAACGTGCATCAGTGGCTCCTGGATATGGCATCACCACCTTTAGGATGAGCTCAGGACAAAGGGACCAACCTCCTCCATGTGCCTTTGTAGTGAGTGTGTGCAGGTACTGGTGTCAACGGAGCAGTCAGGGGTGTGTGCAGGAGGTCCCTTCACAGCCTCACCCTACTCCCACCATCCATGACCCCCCCCAGCACCCCGTTAGCTCCAGCTCAGCACCAGGAGATGGTTTCTCTGTGGATGCTGCTTATTCTTCACTTTAGGTGTGGTCACACTTAACAAAAGTCCTCACTGCTGCTTCCAGCATCCCTTGGAGGTCCCTGTGAGCATCCCAGATCTGACACTTGTTTGTCAGAGCTGGTGACAGCAGCAGGTCCCTCTCAGGGCTGCTTGGGGCCACCCTCTCTGAGGAGCAGGGCTTCCCTGAACAATCCCCATTGTCCCCACGGCCATTGTTCTCCACCACCCTCATCCCGGGCCAGGCTGGAGCTGGCACCGTGCACAAAAGGGCTGATTGTTTGGGCTGCTGTGCTGCCGATGGACAGCTTATTCCCATAGCAAAGGCCTCTGGAGTCAAGTGCTGTGATTGCTCCTTTATTTATTTGTTTGGTTTCTGCTTTTTTCCTTTTTTCTTTTCTGATTTTTTTTTTTCATTTTAATTTTCTGCCTGGCTGGATGAGGCTCTGCTGAGGCTGGGGAAGAGGCCAAGGGAGTGCCAGAGGCTATTCAAGCATGGCCAGCCTGGGCTGTCTTCATCTTTGGGGTACCTGGGGTGGACAGAGCCTTGCAGCAGCACAAACGCTTAGCTATGAGGATGCCCATGATGTGCCTCAGTGCCCTGCGAGCTCACATCTTGTTGCCCCTGGGAGGATGTTAACTGCACATTGTGCTTGTTGGGCCAGAGTGAGGATTAGCTCTTCAGACACTGAGCATCTCCAACATGGATCAGTTTGT